TGCTGTGATGGGTTTTTTGTTTTGTTTTGTAGGAATTTTTTTTTGTTGTTGTTTTTAAAGCTCAGTTCCAGAGCAGGCATAACCAAATTGTCCATTTGTCCTGGCTTCTTTCATTTGTATGTATATTCCTGACACAGGACAGCCATTGTGTGATGAACACAGGAGTTCCTTGTGCTGCTGCTGTGCAAATATTTAAGAATTAGCACATTTTATAATCCTTTGAAAAGTCCTGTGCACATTCTCCACACATACGTGATGTCAAAAGTTGTAAGAGGCACTCCCTCAGTATTTATGAAAATGTGTTTCGTTTTACAGTGAGACTTTTCCCCAGAGTATGATGTTACACTCTATTCAGAAGGAAAATACTGCATTGGCTGCTTTGTTGACTTGCAAGTGATGGGCAAGGCTATGAACTAACTCTTGTTTCTTGCATTGTGTTGTAACTCCAAAACCTCACCTCTCAATTCTTTGTCAGGGCAGACTCTGTAGCAACTTATTCACAGTTGCAACTGTTTTAATATGAAAGTAGGTTTGAATGTGTGTGCTGATTTTTATAATCTAAGAGGAAAAACATTTATAAATTGTTTGAAGTTAACAATAACTGTTAAATTGTTATATTCTTGTAGAAACTGTTTAAAATCTTTAAAATAACTTATTTTTAATAAATAATTTTTGATATCTCATCAGTGATGTGAATAATGCCAGATGCTTCTTTGTTTAAGCATTGCTCAGTGAATTTCATGAATTCTGTCGGTCAGTTGAGGCAGTATGAGTGAGTTCTTATTGAAAAGTGGTCTGCTGGTGTGTTATGGTGTGTTCTGCTGGAGGTTGGAGGAAGGGCATTTCTGTGTTTTTTTAAGATGAACTGACTTATTGATTGTTTCCATAGACGTGGTTATTGTTGCACTTCATCTGACTGCAAACAAGCAGGGCAAAAAGAAAAGGTCAAAGATTGTGTTTAACTTGCAGCTCCTAACCGACCTTTTTCAGTGATAGGTAGATATAAACTTCAGCCCTAGTGAGCATCAGATTTGTATCTACTCAAACAATAAAGTCTGAACAAGGGGAAAGATTCAGTTTTTAGCAATTTGGAAGAAAAGTATTATTGACGTTCACTGTAAAATTTTATCAGCATACATTGCATGGGCAAAAGTCCTGCTGGGTGATTTTTTTTTTTCATTGTTGGGAGTCTTGGGATCAAAATTTTTCTTAGTCTTTTGATAAAAATTATATGTATGTTGAGCTATGAGTTATCTGCAGCCTCGGTCTTCTAGGACGTCATTAGCTGAGCCAAAATGGTCTTTATCACCTTTTAATTTGTGAATATTGGTATGCACGAGTTCTGAAGTCCAAAAAATTCCTTCATTAAAGTGTTCTGTTGCCTGTGTTCTCACTTTTTTCCACCCCAGTGCATCTATAAGTTTCTCTGTTGCAAACATTTTGGTTTTAGTTTTGCAGTTCTCAAACTAACCTGTACATAACTAGTACATGTAGTACATAACTAGCTATATACCAGTGATTATATTTTAATTCTTCAAAGTAGTTGTAAAGAAACCTGAATGCAGCGTGGCAGCTGAAGTGCAGTTGTTGAATTCTGCTATAGTTGTGTGTCAGCATTTCCAAGTACAGTCCAGCAAGTTGACTTTGTTCCAGGCAAATTCAATTTATAGCATTAGAAACAGAAGTTAAATATAATGAAAATAAACCTTCAGAATCAGTTTGGAGCCCAATTTGTCTTCTGATCCCTGACAGTATTTATAAACATGCACGGCTATTAGTTTTAAAAGAATTTCAAGTGCAATTTCATTACTGCTGGTCTACATTCTGAGGTGCTACTCCAGCAAAATGGGGAGCCATGAGGTTGACAAAAGTAAAGCAGAAATAGTTCCCTTAATACTTGTGTACTCCTGAATTGCAATTTGATCCCCAGATCTTTGACAATATGTGTAAATTATCAGTGTTCAGGACACTTTTCTCTGAAGATCACATCATAAATTATTAAATATGCTACTATATTGTTGGAAGTATGTGGAAATTAGTAATAAATAGAAATTAAGAAAAATTTTGGTTGGATCTCTTAGGAGAAGGTACTATAGAAATCTGGTCTACTTTAAAGATGATTGACATTTAAATTTCTAAAATAAATTAGAAGTGTAAGTTGTTCAAGTATATCTGTCAGAGTTTTACCTTCATATGCTGTGAATGTGAGGTTAAGTAGCTGACCAAAGATTCTTAAGATATCCACTTAAAACATCGGCATCACTCTTTTGTTAAATAATTTTGAGAATGAGGAAAAATTGAAGCCGTGCTATATTTTCAGTTCTGCTTTTTCAGTTTTTAGATGCATTTCTGGTAATTCACTTTCAGGAAAACAGGTAATAGATTAAAATCTGGAAAATAAGGTAATTTTTAAGCAATTTAAAAGTATGTCCTTAAGCCACAGATTTCCTGTTTTCATTTTGGAAAGAGGAAGAGTATCTTTTGCCTCTTCTGTAGCCAGCACTTTGCTTTTTTTACAAGATGGAGCCGAATGGCAGGGAATTAATGAATGTACTGACACACTGTTGATGGGGTTTGGGGTAGCTGTTGCCAAGCCGCTGCCTCTTTCTCCCACCAAGTCCCTGATTTAGTACCCTGTGCTCAAGCAGAAGTCATGGGCTGGTAGGACAAAATAATGTCTCCTGTTCTCTTATCAGTGAAATGTTCTGTCCTTGACTCCAGACAAATGAAAAGGTTCATGTGTTGAGCTCAGTTTCTGCAGGAGTTTTGGTATTTATGGGTTATTTTGGGTTTTTTTTTTTGTCTTCTCAGGAGCTTCCTTTTCTGTTGTACCTAAAAATTTATCCAGGGCTTTAACCTCAGCCAGCATTAATATGTGGGTTTGACTTCATGAGTTTAGGACCCTTGCATAGATTTTGTTTTTTTCCACCAACCCCACCATTGAGATAATTATGAATGGCAGTAGCTGAGTTTTGGTAATAAAGAGATCACAAATAGCAGAAGAAATTCCTCTGGGGCACAGGAGTTATGTTCCATATCTTAAAAATATCTTTTTACAAGACTCAGAATGAAATACTGGTGCTATGGTTCTGTGCAACAGGTTTGTGCAATTTCTTGTACATTTTGCTTTTGTTTATTGCTTGTGCTGGCATTAAAATTTCTTAATCTATTTCTGATAAGATTGTGTCAAAACCAGAGAACTTAAAGGGGAAAATAACCGAGTGGTTTTCACTTAAAACACAGGGTCAGTTGTAAAGAACAGAGCGGTCCGATGCTTTCATGAGGTCGTGACATGTCTTTATTTTTCCTGTTTTTTTATGTTTTTATTAAAAAGAAAGTTTCTTCTTTCTGCAAACTATGATGATGTATATTAATGACTTCTGGAAAGCGGCCCTTCTGCCATCAGCACTCTGTTGGAGACACATAAGCTCTTTATAAAGGAGTGCAACACTTCTGCTACACAAACACCGCTGCCCCAGGCCCCCTCAGTTTATTTGCTACTATAGAAAAAGAAAAAGTTTAATTATCTTTTGAGCTATCCCTCAAGCTAAGTCTTAAATTTAGTTTATTTCATGGTGTACATACTGGTAGAGGAATGAAGGAGGATAAAAATCAGATTTCAAGCAAAACAAAACATCTAGTTATCAATAGTCATTTATTTTTTTTAAAGGTAAACTTCTCAGGAAAAGAACTCAATGTTCAGAAATCGTGCTGGTTTTAGTCAGCATTAAAAAATCTCAATCTTCTGAACGTGGGTGGCAGGGGACTTTTAGTTTAGTTTCTCTATTTAGGTATTTTCTGAGAATCCTTTAACAATGCAGTAGGACTGCTGTCTCTCTTCACTTCCCCATTTAAATCGCAGTAGTGTTTCACAGAACTCAGGTAACTGGAATTTATACAAAATTAATTTTAAGATCAGTGCAGTTTCAGCTCTTAAAATGGAAAGGCTAAAGTTTAGAGAGAAGCGTGAACTTCTTGAAGGACTGTCCTTTTATCAAGATGTACTGAAACTGTAATGCTGATGGGTTAAGGGAAAACAACTTTGTGCTTTAACATTTTGATGTGAAGTTTCTCAGCTCAGTATCTTCCCATTTTAAACTGACAGAGATGAGGGAGCTGCTAGAGCCAGTAGTGACCTGTACTTAACAAGGTCTTATTTTGTTTTTAAAACTCCACAAAATTCAGTTTCATTGTATCAAGTGTTATTGTAGCAAAGGTGAAGTTCTATTCAAATAGGTCGGGTGTTAAAGAAATATTATTAAAGGCTAAAAATGTTTTATAAACAGTGGAACATGAGTGTAATCACTTACCAAATGTCTTTGATGGACTTTTTGTTTAACCATTCAATAAGGCTGGGAAAAATCATAGGTCTTATTTATGAATGCACTTTAGCTAGCTCATTCATTTTAAACAGGCATATTTTACTGTTAGGAGAATCTACAAATCCATGTTGCTTCAAGCACTTTGCTATAACTTTGATTAAACATTGTGCATTTTCCAGAAATGTCATTAGATATCACAGAGTTAACTCAGAAAAAATGTACGAGAATGTACTCGTTAAAAAAAAAAAAGCATTTCTTTATTGTCAAGCAGTTTATCAGTTAATCTTGGTTAGGCACATATACATCCAAGCTGGAAAGCTGAATTTGGGTTTGGAATGTGATCAAAGAATAAGCTTATTCTCCTCTGGATCATGTAGTACAAGCTTTTTAGGAATAAAGGGCAGGGATCACTAGTATAACCCCATCAGGGAGGAACGGTCAGTCTAAGGACATTTGTTCCAGTCACTGCAGTGTGCTGGTGTTCCTGCTCTCTGCAGTTATACTAAACTTCATCTGGTTAGTGATCTGATAAATTTTACTCTGAAGAGGAAATATGTATAAAAATTACATCTTTTTACTCAGCATTTCCATTCCTCAGGGATAAAACTGTTGAAGGACACAAATGTGTATTTTCTTTGGTGCTGGGTTGTTTTTTGTTTGGTTGGTTTTTTTTGTTACCTGTCTGTCATAACCAAGAGTATTCAGAGAACACAACTGCATTCTGTCCTCCATACTCAGTGTTTCATCTTTCAGAGTGAAAATGTAACTACAGATGGAAACCATGAGACCATCACAGCAATCAGCAGCAAGAGCAATCCTCCAGCCCTCACAAGATGCATAATAGTATATTTTCTTGGCTTTGGTCCACATCCCTGAGATCTGAACCACTCAACCACTTCATTCAGGCTGTATTGCTGAGGCTCATATCCCAGCTCCTTTCTGGCTTTCTCCATGCTAAAATAATGCGTGACACCAGTTTTGTAAACCTCTGTGCGAGTGAGGAGAGGCTGAAAATTATAAACATGGCCTACAAGAAAATGAACCACTTCAGTAAGGAATGCAAAAAAATAGACAAGGGAGAGAGGAAGACGACAGGTTGGGAACTTGTAACCCAAACCTTCCACTAACGGTCGGAAAAATTCAAAGTTATTTACAGGCCTGCCATCTGAAATAAAATAGGCTTGGCCTGCAGCTATGTGCTTTTTGCTGGCTTTGAGGGCCTCAGAAGCAAGGATATGAGCCTGGACTAGATTGTCAACGTGTACAAATTCTACTAAACTAAGAGGATCTCCATATACAAATTTAAACAGTCCCCTTTCAATGTAACTAACTATTCTTGGAAGATGTCTTTGTTCTCCAGGCCCATAGATGCCTGCTGGTCGGAGAGCACAAGTCCTCAATACACCTTTCCCATTTCCAAGCTCAGCACCGTTTGCTGCCAGCACCTTCATTTCAGCTAAAGATTTGGTCCGGGAGTAGTGATCTGGGTGAAGGTGAAGAGGTAGGTAAGGCAGAGATTCATCCCCATTTTCTATAATCTGCCCTCCAAATACCACGTTATATGTACTTGTATAAACCAGACTCGACACTCCTGAGCTCTTGCAGGCTTGGATGACATTTTCTGTTCCTTTCACATTAACATCTTCTATAAGTTTTCGGTTCAGCTGCTCCCTGCCAGACATTCCATAGGAAGCAATATGGAATACGCAGATTACATCTCTAAGAGCCTCTTCCACTTCAGAGAGGCAACAGACATCCCCTTGCATGAACTTTATTCCCTCTGGCACAGTTTGAAGTGGGTTCATGACATCAAAGAGAATCACATCAACTCCCTTTTGGTATATGGCACAACCTAAACTAAAACATGATAGAAACCATATGTTAGTGTACAGAGCATATTCAGCACCTGGAGTTAAGAAAAGCCTATTAACTATGTTAATAGTTTTGTTTGTTTGTCTTTAAACCTACCCTCTTTCAGTTTAAAGCCATTAACTATGTTAATAGTTTTGTTTGTTTGGTTGGTTTTTTTTTCCCCCAATGGGAGTCCTTTAAATATTCAGTCATCTATTATGGAGAAGATTCAACTGTGATATAAGTACTGAACTAATTTCTTATGCTCCATCAATACTTTCTATGAGGGAGAAAAGAAAAAAGGGAAAAAAAAGAGGTGAAACTGCTGTAAAGGAAAATTCAGAACAGAAATAACTGAAGTGTTTTCAGCAGCCTTTTGGAAGAATCCAGCTATTTCTCTGCTTCTGTCCCCTACAGATCAGCAATAGCAAACCTTTCAGATGGAAAACTGTAGCCAAATATATATATATATGTATGTATACACATACACTTTAAATCTTACTGGTTTTATCTTACTGCTTTTGTGCTATCCCAGTTTTGTCAGGACAACAGGTTCGTCTTTGCTGTTTGAAATTTATATAGAAGAGGAATGAGTGCGATGCCTCTAAGCTGCTGTGAATACTTTGCCACATGCCTACGTATTACTTCAAGTTATGGGTATAAACACAGGTATTGACACAAAGTAAAAATCTGGCATTTCTCTCTCCCTTTCCTACAACTGTTGTGTTTCTATAGTGTTTAAAAGATGAGACAGTGGAATTAAAAAAACAAGCAGAAGTCATACAGGTATAGTCTGAGATTTATTTTTTTTTCCCCCCTGGTTGAAATTTACTTTCTGGTCATGACTGTAATCTCACTCACCTATGAAAGCAAACTCTGAAGGTACTCTAGAAGATAGTCTAGGGCTCAAAATAGGATTTTTTTCTTTACATGATTTAGCCTATATGTCTATCTACAGTAAGGGGAATTGGATTTCACTGAAATAGGTACCTTACTAACAACTCTAATCCTACAGCATCAATGCCCATAAAAATAAATATATTATTGAGAGTAGAGAGCAGCTGGAGGATTTAATCTATGAGGCTAAGCACGTGTGTAACTATTTGGCAGGCTATGGCCTGCTGTCAAAAGAATGATCTGCCTACAAGTGTAGGCTTGCTTTTGAGAGGCTGGAAGATGATGATCTAAATCCCTAGTACTAAGGTGACCAGACAGGTAAATGTCTGCAAACCAGTTGATACTTGACATTTGGAAACACAGCAAGATACGTGCTTAAAACATTTAGAAACAGAATAACATGTTTGTTTAAAACTGAGTCCCAAGATTAACCAGAAGATAAGCATATCAGGCTCTGAGTTTTCTCTTTGACAGATGGATTTTGTTGCCTCACCAGCAGCAATCTCTTACATTTATTCTTCTAAGTATTAACTATTTAATGCACTAACCGGAAGCCAAAATAACCACCTCCCCCAGTAACGAGGACTGTCTCCTTGGCAGTGTTTTCTGGTTCCATCCTCTTTCCTTTGGCACTATTGAAGGAAATTGACCTATAAAACACATTGTAAATATACACATTAAAATCAATCTGAATTTTAATGTCACTACACATTCAGTTATTCACCGATCTCTTTCGCGTTTTAATTGAAACCCTTCATTTCACCACCTGCTAAGCAAGGCAGAAAGGATGCCTGTTGTCAAAAAAGCAAATATACAGCTGCTATTCTGAAGAGTTAAATCTTCAACTCCCCTGCCCGGGCCTTGTTCTGCGGCTGTTCCGTGTGCACCGACCGCAGGCGGAGCAGTACGGGCGGGATCAGGCCGCTCAGCCCGGCCACCCCGCCCCGGGAACAGCCCAGGGCCGCCGGGACCCTCTCAGCACGGACCCGCAGG